TTTTCAATCTTCCGTTACTAATACACAATGGGTTCCCTTGAATTCATGTCTTGCCTGAGAATAATGCATAAATTTCATTCCTTCTTTGTTATTCTCCCTCTTTTTTTCAATGGAATTTCCGATCGTTTCTAGTACTATAAATTTTTGTGAAAAAAAGTGCAGTTATATATGACAGATTGTACTCTAAAAATACATCTGTTTTATAAATTTATTAAAATATTTTTAATAAAATTATTTATTTATTATTTTGTTAAATAAATTTTAATAAATTCCTATAGTGAACTGTGTTTTTAATGTACAGTATGTAAAACATAAATCCATCCTATTAATTCTTTAAAACTGGCGCGCACTTGAATGAATTTCAGTTGAGAAATTAACCCCTTTTTTTTTTGGTTATCTTTCGAAGCCAGATGACAGTTTCGTTTTTTTCTGTTTCCTAGCTCTTTCACAGTTACAGAATTGGGACTGTTTTGAGAATTTCTTTTCTGTCTTGTTTTCTGTTGGATTTCCCATTCTTGGCAGTTTTAGGGGTGAAGAAAGGGTAAGGTAGTTAGTTGCTGGGTTCGGTTGAAACCCAGCCTTGGCTGGTCGCGAACCCAGCAAGGCTGGGTTTCCACCGAACCCAGCAAACCCAGCCTTGCTGGGTTTCAACCGAACCCAGCCTTTGCTGGGTTTCAACCGAACCCAGCCTTGTTGGGTTCGTCGAAACCCAGATCTGCTGGGTTCCGATGAACCCAGCCTTGGCTGGTCGACGAACCCAGCAAGGCTGGGTTTCCACCGAACCCGAAAGAAAGAAAGAGAAAAAAAGAAGGAGAAGAAGAGGGATTGGGAGGGTGAGGGTGAGGGTAATAAGGTAATTTTATATGTTTTTAATTAAAATATGTATATTAATTTATGTGGTATTTTTATTTATTTATATAACATAATTATAATATGTATTAGTGGCACGTCATCAAAAAATTAAAAAATAATGTCACATAAAATTATTTAATTGTCATATCATATTTAATTAACGGAGGGACTAAAACTGTGTAATTTTTAAAATTAAGGGATAAAAAAATATAAAAAATTACTAAGGGATCAAAAATAATATTAATTAATTATTTTTAAAGAAAAATTTTAATTTTAATTGTTTTCTTATTGATATTCTTTTACTAAGAATCTTAATTAAATTAAAAAATGAATGATTTTCTTCATTTCTTATTTTTAGTAATTTTTTTATTAAATGAATAATTTTATTAAAATAAAAAACAAGCCCTCACTGTGATAATATTTAAACAATGAACCAACTAATTCAAATAATTTCTGAAGATGAATTCAATGAGGATGCAGATTCTTCCGATCGTCAGCTTCGTGTTCTTCGCTCTGTTACAGCTTAGTTATGGACAAGTTATTGGTTCTTCACCGGCACCTGGTCCGGTAAGCAACGGTGCGGCCATCGATCAAGGAATCGCCTACCTTCTCCTCATACTGGCCCTCGCCATCGCGTATATCTTCCATTGATTTTATTTTTCATGTACTGATAGTGATTTATTTAATTATTTTCTCTTTTTTAATGTAGTTTTTCTCCACGCATTGGGCTTGGAGAAATTGCACTTTTGAATGATGTTATTTAATCTATGGCTATGTATATAAATTTTAAGTAGTATTTTAATAACATTAAATAAAATATTTAATAAATTGTTATAGAAGTTCTGCTTTAATTTTTTAATAGATATAAATTTAAAGGATGGGAGATTTTAATCCAATATTTAAAATTAAAAATATATTTTTTTAAAAAGTTTATAACTAATTGGTTTTTCTAGGCCACATGCATAGAAGTTCTCTTTCTTATTAATTGTAAGTTTTGAGATGAGAATTCGGTGGGAGAATTATGAGGATGTGAAGTGAAACGGTATTTTTTATTATGTAGTTGACTTTTTGGTTCAACAACACATTGTGCTTTAAAGAAAACACATATTGTGCAATTTGTGCTTTAATGTAACCACCAATGGGCTACAATAGATTTAGGAATCCTATATTTAGAAGAGTCAAAAAAAACATGAAGATCGGATTTCCAT